GTGATAATGAATTTCTATGTGTTTCGAGTTAAGCTTATGCTAATATCGAAAAGTAATCAACTTTGATTAAGCATAACTGAGAAACTATGTGATAAAATGCACTGAAACTTCGCAAAAGTATTTATTAGGTGTTTAATTAATTTTGTTGAAAATTTTGTGATTATCTCGAATAATTTCCATTTAGGAGATATCTACCTTAATATCGTTGGAACGTGTTTAGATTCAATACAATTCACGATGCATGGTAGTAGTTTAAAATTGAAGCACGATTGATACAACACTTGAAAGAGGAAGATTAATGTAGACCGTCACCGACAAATAGTTGCCTCTCATCTCGGATTCGAATAGAGTCTCTGATCAAAGACAGTCATTCCGGTTCCGTTTCCGATTGTCAAACATCTCGAGGGAAGCTTCGACCGAAATCGTCGCCTCCGTGACCGTAGAAGCCGATAAAACAATACAGTGGTGCAGTGTGCGTGGAGAATCTCAACGATGCGAGAGTCTGGTGTTTCGAAATCGGGGGAAAGCGACGAGAAAAGTAAGGGAGAATACCCGAAGGAAGGAGAGTCGTAGAAAAAAAAAAAAGAATGAACGAGAGAAAGAGGAATTCCCGGAGGGTCGAGCGAATGGATTCGACGATAGGGGGGGAGAGAAAGAGAGAGAGTGAGAGGGGCAACCCCGTCGGGGGGTTTTGTCTTCTTCGCAGGTTGTCGCAGCTGTACGATTGTGGCACGTCCTCCAGCCACGGAGGATCCTCGGACAAGGAGCAGACCGGGCTGAGAAGCGCAGCCTCTACGAGGTCCTCGGAGTCCTTGGGGAGCTTAGATACCGAGATACCAGCCGCAGCTAGGAGGCCCCGTAGCACGAGGGGCTCGCAAAAATGGAGTAACGTACGCGCCGTCATGGCGCTCTATTCCTCGCTACGCAAGATCAAGAGGTACTCCTCTCATCCTCCGGTCAATTTCATCGAAAGATATCAACGGTTACCACGGAAATTGCACTCTCTCGCTCGTCTGTCACACGCCAATACAGATCTACACGCTCTTTGATATATACACGTTTCTCGCGTATAATTCGTACTAACGTTGTGATTTGGACTATGGTTGAGACGCGAGTCGATAATTTATCTGATCGTTAAAAAATAACTTGATATTAAACGATCCTGTGTGCTCGCCGGTGCGAAGTGCATCGCACATGGATTAATCAAGCTCGCGCAATAAACAGAGGCTCGCGTGTAAACCGTAGCCCACACAGTCCGCCTACGACACGTCTTTCTCTCTCTCTCTCTCTTCCGGAAATTGGCACGCGTGTATCTAAATACACGCTTCGCTTACCCTCACCATGTACGAATATGCAAACGAAGCTCTGCCTTATTATCGCAAACGCATAGAAATTGTCGTATAAAGAAAACGTAAAATCGAATGCATTAATCGCAAATATTTGAAAATCAACCCTTTGTACTCGAACGGCACGAAAACTAATTGCAAACTGTAATATTTAACACTAGAAAGACTGACTGCTTTTGGGCAATATAGGTATAACACATATACATATACCTGGAAATGGAGAAGGGGGAGGTAACTACAATTATTAAT